CCCCCCCTGCGTATGCGCCTGAGTCTATGCATAATGTATGTAACAGTGGCGAATATTGCAAATGATGTTATTATTGAATAAATATTGAATATTTGCTTTCGAAGTTTGAACCTAAAATCTTTGTCCAAAAACCTGTGTCTTTCTTTTGTCTTTACAATATTAGTAGCCTATATACTCCATTTCACAACAAAATACCTGTTACCCAGCCATAGATTTCATTCATATAATTTGATTAAAACGAATTCACGTCGATATAGACCAGGTAGTAGCGAGTTAATTTTGAATTGTTAGTTACATAAACAAACATTGAGAAAAATGGGTTAAAGACAAATATGAGAAGAGAAGATTTAAAACAGAATTATTTCGTCGCCCCCTCTCGCTTCATTTATAAATTATTGAGAGTTGATTATCTTTTGAATATTGCTTTATTATACAGTATTTACAAAATGAAAAGAGAAGAAAAAAGAAATAGGAGATAATTCTAAAGACAGATAGCTGAATAAGAGGGGGGGGGGGGGAGCAATTGAGAAATAGAAAGATCAGGGGGGGGGGAGGGTAAAGCGGCAAAAGAGATGTATAGAGCTAGAGAGAGCTAAAGACACACCATTCAATTAAAGGGTAATATACGTTTTAAACTTCCTCTTTGACCCAATTCTCTCACTCACCCCATCCAATAATTGTCTTCGATATCTATTAATACAAAATGGCAACTCTCTCTCTCTTTCTTGTTCTTCCGCATTTACCCTCTCTTTTTCGCCCTGCTCAGTCAAACTTTGCCTTCTATCCGGCTATTTGGTCAAAAATTGTTATTATACCGGTGAAAATGGGCGTACGAGTTTGTTGATAACGCCATCTTCGGCGGCTTGTAGAAAGTGTTTTCAAAATGTTAGCCCTGCTCAGTCAATTCGGGGATGACGTCATCTTGAGGTTGCAGCAAGCAGGGGGTGGTGGGGGGAAGGGCGCACATGAGGTAAATATGGCAAATCTCAAGTACACATGAAATATTAAAAAATGGACACAGCATCTCTCATTTTGTGTTGTTGCTTGTTTGTCAGAGAATGTTCAGAGTTGTGCCCCAATTACGTATTCAACCAATTATATCAGAATTTGATAGTGGTAGTAAGAGAGAGAGGAGAGAGAGAGAGAGAGGAGAGAGGTCGATAAACTCAATATATAGAGAGAGAGAGAGAAGAGAGAGAGAGAGAGAGAGAGGGAACTTGGTAAAAAAGCCGAGACATTGCTTTGTGTTTCATACATTTATTCTTTCATAAATCTTTGTACACGTTCAATTACACACTAGATCTGCTGTTTTAGTTGTGGAAGTAAATACTTCAATTAAAACATGTCTTTTTACAATAGAATACAAAATGAACATTGAAAGAAATGTGACTCAAAACCATACTAATTTGTTTCACAGAGTGTTATGCCAATCGTGTATAAATAATATAACTTGGTCCATAATGATTGCCAAATACAAACAAAAGAATTGCAGAAACACATTAGTAATTATAATTTACATGAAGAAAAGAACATACATATACATCTATGATCCGGAACTAAACGCCACATGCAATACAAGAAACTATTACCACAAAATAATAACATACTGTAATGTAAACATAATAATATATATGTAGCTTTATACAATGAATTGTATATCTGCGAATGAATCAATCTACCCAGTGTATGAGAAAAATATATCCTGGGGCATAAAATCATATGATACATTTTTGAGAAGAGAAGAAAATAATATATTTTGAGACGAGAACATATATTGTGTAGTTTGCAGGGTGACATAAATAATCATCATTAAAGGCCCACTGCACTACTTGTAGCTACTTGCGCCCTCTATATAACAAACAATGCCTAATCGGTGACCATTGGTCCCCCCATGATCCTCTTTTTCTTATGTTAACTGAGAGCTGAGTTGATGAGATAACCACCTGTCCAGTGACCTTGCAGGGCGGTGTAATCCCTCCTGTAAACTATGGCAGATAAGCTTTAACAAAACTTCTGATCTGTTTTTGTTTTTGATTACTGGCAATTTCTTTGACAATCATTTTCCTTCAAGTCATTATGACTATTGTTGTTTTCATTTTATGAAAATGAATTCAAATAAGTTTGCTTGAATCAGCTAACAATATGACAGATGGCAAACTTTCAAGAAATTAAGAACTGAACAGTTTAAGGTGCATATCAAGAAAAAAGATTACATACACACAAGATTGGGCCTATAAAGATATAAAATGGGAGGAATCATGCTTTAGACATTAGAATGTGACCACTTACCTCTATGAATATGACAGACAAAGAAAGCGGACAAAATATACAGTTCCTCAGGTAGACAAAGGAACATCCCTGCACTGCTATTATGTAAAAATGTGTAGAAACAGGTGTCACATGCATATTCAACTTTTTACATAATAGCAGTGAAGGAATATTCCTTTGTCTACCTGAGGACTGTATATTTTGTCCGCTTTCTTTGTCCGTCATATTCATAGTGTACTGAACAAGATAGAGGCAAAAAACAAGAAGAAAGTAATTACATGTCCATAACAAAAAGAAATATAAGTGAATTCATTTCATATTACTGGTAATCTCTTTCTGAAAACCCATGGAATATCTTACAATATTGTATTAACCCATAAACATAAATCACAGCTATTCAATTACACACTGTAATTTGGTCACCCCCCTTACGGGTAAATTTCATTTTCAACAATACTTCACTCTTGACCTATACCAGGTATTAAACACAGTTCTTATCCTGTCTGAAAAATATCTCCCAATGGTCACAAATATCACCATTTAATTTATTTTGCAGATGAAATAATGATGACAGTAGATTATAAATATGTACCACTTTAAAGATGAAGTTGAGTTCTGGTCATGCGATTGCATTGTGAAAGAAATGGTGTGGAATCGACTAGAAAAGGTTGATCATCTAGCATATAAGTATTTGTGTGTATTGCAAGGTTCTGGAATCATCAATATGATAAGAAATTTTGGTCCAGTCTTGGTAAAGTAACAAGCACTGTACACAGAAAGATGTATATGGGACTACACGAACATGAAGCGTAAAAATCCTACCCTGGATTTTTACGATGTTACATGCCATATTTAGAATATGATGGCATTTGAAGAGCCATGCTTTTCAGGGAACATGTTTTATCTGATGTTCTTCCACACTTGCATAATAACAATGATAACGCTCACAAATTGTTTTTCACCTTTTCCCAGAACTCAACCTTCTTTTTAATGCAGTTACGTGCGTTCTATCTTGGCCTTATACAATCCTGGTTTGTGCGATGAGATAATGAATCAGTGTTCGGCAAACACATTTCATTGGTACAATTTTCAGGTTGCATTGCATTTCAGGTAGTAAAACATGCACTGCACTGTGTGCCAATGACTTGTTATACACTGTAGAGCTATACTGCAGAATTATTGTGAGTACACCCTGTCTCATTTGAATGGTGGCACGGGAATAATGCTGGCGGTGCTTTTCACTGTTGAGCAATAGTAATTGATCATTTGAGCATGCATGTAAACAAACAAAAGTTTTAAAATTTTGGTCACATTGGTACATAAATGGTATAATATCATTGTCACTAATTAAATACATTCATACATATCAGTATCACACACAATTGCCATTGTACCCAATATACTCTGTTTCCATAAAATAGATTTGTCAAATAATCAATAAATGCTTTGCGCAACCATGAATATTACTATCAACTACAATCACACTAGCACAGAAAGACACATTCTTGAATTGTAATATATTATTAGAGACAAGGAAAGTACCGGTACACTAAAAATTAAAATTTAAAATTCTCAGAGCCAGAGCTAAAGGGGGGGGGGGGGGGGGGGGCATGGGAAAAGTGCCCCCACCCCAATGTAACAGTGTAAAAAGTAGCAAAGTTACAAGCGTGTGAAAAAAAGAGATAAAAACATGGGGGGGGGTATGCAGTAGGAAGACAAAAAGACCCCATTTCCCCTCGAATGACGGCCTTGTTTTCTCACATTTTACGTAGGTGCCCTCCCCTCCAAATTTCAATTTTTCCAATAATTATTAGCAATCAGGTACTATTTGCTACGTTCAACTATGGATTAGAATAATAACAAAAAACATTCTGTACACCATATACATCGCTAAGGAAGTTATTCAGGTAAATTTTCTTCACAACATTTACAAACTAACTCAATTACCTTGTTATTTTGGTAAAAAGCACATGTTTTGATAGTCTCTAACCTTTACAACTAAAATAGTATTTTTCTTAAACAATGACAATACAAGTATCTTTGCTATAGCGAATTTAATCGGTGGTTCTTGAATATACTGAACTTTAGAGTGTTTCACACTTTCAGAGGTAAATAAGGAGTTTTGCACATTCCGATACCGGTTTCACATGCACAAATATATAACTTTAGAACAAGTGTGCTTCCTACCACGCAGAGCTTGTTACACACATAAAAGTTTGGTGTCCAATTAGTGTCCAGGGGCAGGACATAACTGACTGTTCAGTGTTGTCACTGACATGCTCTGTTGACTAGGTGGAATGCAAATTTGTACAATGTTTCGGGAGTTCTGCAGCTTCACATCCACTTGCCTCTGATGACGACTAGCACTGCTGGCAGGGCAAAGGCACATTGTACAGTATTCCTTGAGCGCTAGCTTCGTGAAAACTTCCACATCCGTCAAAGATGAGCTCTACAGGCTATATGTGGGACGAACAGTGTCTTGCGTTCCTAGAATGTGAACTTCACAGCGATTGCACCCGACAATGATAATCTCTAAGGATGGGAAAGCATGTTTCTTTGTGCTCCTTGTAGACTTGTCCCAACTACACAGGTTAACAGCAACAAAACTTGCACCAGACAAAGATTAGCTCGCAGATTCTTTCGATGTACACGCACTGGTCTGTGATCCTGTAGTCCCTAAACTCAATTCCATCTTTAAGATATGCTCTGAAGACTATGTGCAACGCACCTTGTACAGTATACCATGAGCATCAGCTCCAAAGGAGGTTTCATCTGGCAAGATCAGCTCGCAGACTATTTTGATGTAAACGCACTGGTCTGTGATCCTGTAGTCCCTAAACTCGATTGCATCTTTACAAGATATATATGCTCTGGGCATCAACTCCAAAGGAGGTTTCATCTGACGAGATCAGCTCTGCAGATTTGGCCGGATGCACAATGTCCCTACGGTGTGAATTTTACAAAAACTTGCATCTGATAGATTAGTTCCATCCCTGTTTGAACAAAAACAAAAACATCAAACTAAAAGTTTAGCAGGGATGTTGGTGCCAATGCTTGGCTCTACAGACAAGAAACAAAAAGAAGCAAAAACACTGCAAGTTCAGATGCACAAATGTAGGATCGTGACAAGCGCTCATTTCACAAAGTCATTAAAAAAAATCCTCAACCACCCCCGCCCCCCTTTGAGGAAAAAAAAGAAAGAAGAGGATTCTTGAGGGAAAAAAAATGGCATCTAAAATAGGGAAAAATTAGAAAATAGGGGTAAAATAGGGGTAAAATCAGGAAGAAAAAAATGAAAAAAAAAGAAAAAAAAAGAAGTTTGGTGAAACGGGGCCCAGGTCCTGAGCCCACATTGGTCTGATTTGTGTCCCATTACGCATTACCCTATCATTACCTGGTCCAGTGAGGCACATTTGACAGGGCTGTAGTGCGTCATGGTCGCCTGCTGGTTCTGTGATAACAGCTTGAACTGAAGTGTGGCTCTGTGGAAGAAACAAAACAGAAGTGTAAGTAAGAGAATGCGTTATACATGAATATCCCTAATTTCCTTCTATCCTCCGTGCGTGTTCACTTATAGCGCAGGACATCGATAATCAACGCAAAACTAGATATAGCGTAGTATCCCCGGTTGATCTTCACGCAAAACGCTCACCGATCGGCCATGTCAATTTTCCGCCAAAATCTAGTATGTATCAGCTACTACATGTACTTTGCTAGTTCCTGACTGGTAGTGAGATAGACATCGATAGAAAGTATGATATCATGTTAGGAAAATATCTACATTATGTGGTAAGCCAAAATTTAATGAGACGCACCCCCGATAAAAATGAGTTTTTAACATGAATATCCGACTCTGCAAATACTTTTCTTCTCCAAGCTTTCTTGGTGTTTTTCTCACATTTTAATACATCACTCACTACTTATTGAATTGTACACTATAATGTTTATTATTCTGGCTCACATTCATGACAAATTCATTGTCATTAAATGAATCCTGAGCAGATAAGAAGAACGAGAACTGTGCCATGTTTTTGCTTATTACGTATGCAAGAGGAGCAAAAACATGCATATGACTTGAGTAAATATGGGCGATTTTGCAAGCGCTGCGGCCTGACTGAATTTACACAATAAATCATCAACTGGTACAAATTAGAACCATGTCAAGTTGAGAGAGACAGCTGAGCATATAAAAAATTGATCAAATTTTGATCTGACATTTGCTCCAGTGGTATTTTCTCCGCATTTTATTTCATCTACGAACAAGAATCATGGTTAGGATTGAAAATGGGTTTTAAATTAAGTTTATGGTTGAGGTTTCATAGGGCTAGGGCTTGGAATACTGCAATGTCCAGGGAAGAAGTTATGAATTCAGGGTGGTGTTTCACATAGATCCTAAGTCGAACTTAACTCGTTGGACTTAAAATAACAGAGAGCCATTTGTAGCCTTAAATAATAAAATATATTCACAAGCGAACATTCAAGTATTTTAGACTTTTTATAAATTCCACATCGAGAACGTGAAATCTCCTTGATAATAGAAAATATGAATGATTTGTATCAACATTTTAAGCATTTTAAAATAAATTTTACAAAATATTTTCATAGATGTTAATGGCTTTCCATAATTGTTAAGTCTAACTTAGAGATAAGTTCAACTTGGAATCTTTGTGAAACACCCCCCTGTTGGTGTACGTCATTAACTGCACAGTACATGTAATTTTCGGCATGGCATGAGTTGTAGAACCACATCGAATAACAGTAAAAGGAAGAAGGAAAAAAAAGACTGGTATATTACAGATCATCAGAGACTAAAGATCAACAATCTTGAGCACTGATGTTTGTAACAGAAAGCATTTTTACCCCATATGCTCAGGTCAAATTTGCTCTTTTTTTCTTCTTCTAATGGACTAAACACTTAACGTATTACCATCACTCTATACCGAAGCAAATCTCAAGCTAAGCCTTAACACAATGTCTTAGATAAAATGTCTCCAGTTCCCCAAGCACGTCAGATCACCAACAAAAAGGGTACTTTTGTGCATGGCTCCACTCAAACATGTGGCGGGCACACACATTGGCACCAAAACTTGAAGTGAAGACCTCCCCCCCCCCCCCCCCCCAAAAAAAAATGTTTTCTTTAAATTTCAACATGGGGATCATGTATGAAGAGCCTTAAGATCATGTTCTGGACACCCTTCTTACTACTGTAGAGCCCAGCCTTTGTGGTATTAAAACTTAAGTACCTGTACAAAACATGGCTCTATATATGTAGTCAACTGTAATAACTATTTTCGGTGGCCAAAATACTGTGTACCATGGGAATTTTTAATAAGGGTACTGAACTGAAAACCCGGAATTAAAAAAGAAGAAAAATAAATTGTGCAACATTTTTTAACAAGCTACCTCCTCTATTTGAAGAAAGGTTAAAGTGTACTTTGTCTTCTCTCCCTTATCTGGGAAATTCTTTATGAGATTGCAAAAACAATCTAAGAAAACTTCCTTTACTTGTTTACTAGCTACCTGTATCTTGATAATCTAGCAACTTTTTGGACTGATACTGTTTTATCTTTGTTCCTTTGAATTACCAAAGGAAATGAATCCTAAATATTTAACTAGATACGCTATCCAAACATTATCCCAATATTATCTCTCCTGATACATGTCTATGTCAACAATCAAATATATCTCGATCACTTTGTATATTGACACAACATAATTATGTCTTTAAAATATCTTCTTTCAGTTTCGTTCTTGGGGTGTACAGGTAATCATGGTCCAGAAACCGCTTCGGCAGATCAAAAGTGAGTTCATCATAATTGATCAAAACAGAAGGCCCGTCTTCACTATCTCGAGATTGCCAAATATCCAGCTATTTGAACTATCCCGATCGCAAACTATCCAGCTAATTGCGTCTTCATTAGAACGAAGTAGCAAATTGGCTGGATAGTTGGTCAGGATAATATCCCAAGATATCTCGGTCTAGTTTGCAAAATATCCCACTATTTCCGAACTAGCGGGATAGTTTGCGACCGTCTTCATTAGACCGAAGTACGGAGTCAAATATCCCGATCCCATCATGCACCACTGAGCGGTATAGATCGCATGTGCGCGCGCTTGTACAACTAGTTAACACGGTGAACCGGAAATCGTTGTGCATGATGGGATCGGGATATTTGACTCCGTACTTCGGTCTAATGAAGACGGTCGCAAACTATCCCGCCAGTTCGGAATATTTTGCAAACTAGACCGAGATATCTTGGGATATTATCCCGACCAACTATCCAGCTAATTTGCTACTTCGTTCTAATGAAGACGCAAATTGGCTGGATAGTTTGCGATCGGGATAGTTCAAATAGCTGGATATTTGGCAATCTCGAGATCTTCTAGAGGGTACTTGTGATTATTTGCAAGTGGTGAATAATTAATACAAAAGCTTCTTGGTATTACACATATATGCTTCGGGCTCTAAAGTACATCCAACATCTTGTACAATGTTTTCAAACACTTCAAGTACTTGAAACAAGTATAACACATGCTTGATACAAGTACAATGAGTATGGATTTCACATATAAATACATCTCCTCTTGGTTTCACCAAAGAATGAATGTTTGTCTGGCTACTTTCAAGTGTACATAAAATCCTCATTACATTTAATTAGACAATCAAGAAAGTTGGTGCACTAATAAGGAATGAAGATTAGATGATAATTATATACCTTGCTTTTGTTAATGGAAAGTGTTGAAAATCATAGAAACTAAATCAAGGTTTCACTATGCTTTTGAAATAAAGTGTCAATTGAGAATATATACAGCCATCCTCCCACACAAAAACATTGAAGTTGGCGTACTTAAGAAACAAAGATAAGATGATAATTATTTACCTTGCTTTTGTTATGGAAAGTGTTGGAGATCATAAAAACTAAAATCAAGGTTTCACTACATAAACCCTATTATACAACACCTACGTGAATCCTTGTCATTTGATTGGACGATTGTTGGTCACATGATATTCAATAGATGGTATATTGCACGGTCGTGCATTTTTGGTTATATGCGCCGTGCATTTTTGGTTATATGCAGACTGCGTACCTCTCTGCTGCATGTGCGCGTATCCCTGCGTGTATCTGACGCGAAGGCAATCTGCATGTAATCGAGAAGGCTTGACTCGAACTTTAATTTATCTTTATAAGGAGTAAAGCATAATTTGTTGATTAACGTTCTATTAGGTCTTCTTCGATGTTGTATAAAACAAATAATGAATGTTTTTCATTCGTTTAATAGTGCAAATATGTTCATTCGTTGAAAGATTAACGTTAATTCTATTCAACTCGGCTGACGCCTCGTTGAATAGAATGTTAATCTTTCAACTCATGAACATATTCGCACTATTGAACTCATAACCATTCATTATTTGTATACTATTGAATATAAAGTGTCAATTGAGAATATAATATACTAGTACAGGAATGTTCCTACACAAACACAATGAAAGTTGGCGCACTACATGTACATGAAGATTAGTTGATTATGGAAAGTTTTGGAAATCATATAAACTACAATCCAGGTTTCACTATAAATAAACTGGACTTTTGAATAATTAAGTGTCAATTGGGAATACAATGTAAAGGAATCTTGCCACACTAACACAATGAAAGAAGATTTTATGAGTCATACATAATACTCACACAAACTGCATATAAATCACATGTGTTGGTGAGTCACCTGAGCAGTAGGACCTGCAAGAGTGTGATTAAAGGATTTAAAAATGAAGTCACAAGAGCATGATTTATTCAGAGAGATGCACCAAATTCAAAGAGCACCTCTGTCACAAGACAAACACAAAATTTGAATATTTACAATAATCAGGGGCATGATCAGGAATTTGTGAAGGAGGAGGGAGGGGAAGCGATGCACATTATTCTGAAACCTGACACAATTACATGGGGACAATTTTATTGTTGGGTTGGTATCCTTATGATGTACATACTGGGTGGGTTTCAGCTTGGATGTGGATCCCATCCTCAATTGTTACTGATGATAATAATAATGTCACTGTCATATTAAATTCTACGATATTAGGAGAATCGGCACATGCAGTCTTGAACATATAGGCCTGAATTCACAAAGGAGGTCTAACTTAACCCATGGTTTGAACCCTCATTTACATAAAATTTGCGCAAAATAAGCATACCTTGCCTTGCGCGCGTCTGATATTGGACCTCTGACTGTGTCACGCTTCTGTTGCACAAATTTTAGACCATGGGTTATGTAAATGAGGGTTTAAAACATGGGTTAAATTTAAACCTCCATTGTGATTCCGGGCCATACATTACAGACATTACAGTTACTATAAAGGTGAGTTCTGGTAATGCGATTGCATTGTAAAAGAAAAGGTGTGGAAGGGATCAGAAAAAGTTGATCGTGTAGCATGTAAGTATTGGTGTGCATTGCACAGTTCTGGAGTCATCAAAATCATAATAAATTTAGCCCAGTCTTGATAAAGTAACAAGCACTGTACACAGAAAGATGTACATGGGACTACACAAATGGTGTCGAGGCTAGTACTACCTGATTTTCTTATCTTTCTGTGCTCATTACTCAGCCAGTATACATGTTCTTCTAAAATTGTTTGGCACATGACATTTATTTGTAATCTTGAACATTCAGTGTAACTTTTGTTTGATTCTGTGAGAATTCATTTTTTTTTTTTTTTACCAGAACTCAAGTTTATCTTTAATCAGCATGGCATTCATTCCCATGCTTGACTCATCCATGTATCACGATGCTCTTACACACAGGAAAAACATTATTTTTCTTCAGCTAACATGACTTCCTGTGGCATTCAAGTGATTTTTTTTTTTCCAGTCTTGGCTAATTTATCTAACTCTACAATGTCCTCTTGACAGAAGAAAGTATGATTATTCATAAGTATAAAAATAATTCTCTTGGAATTGAAAATAACGATGAGTGCTACACTATCAACAATTAGTTCCTGGTATTTTTGAAAAATGTATAAATAGTCTTTCTCAATTCTATAATTAAGTTTAATACTCACACTAAAAATGACTCTGTGAAGGTGGCTGTAACGTTAGAAAACATCTGAAGGAAGATTAAACATTTTACAGGTTAAATAAAAACTTTACAACAAACATGTTCATATGATACATATACTGTACCATTCAGTGACATAGTGAGGTGTTCAAATTTACATACATGTATAAAACATTTAATCCACTGATCAAATCCAAACTTCAAAACATCCTTCTTTTTGTTTACCTGGATATTTTTGGCTACAATGAAGAAAATAGTCAGGGCCATGTTTAAAAAAACAACTTGTTTTCGACAGTAGTTGTTACAAGCTACTGAAATCCTTGCATTTGATTGGCTATGGGTAGATTTCACGTTGACCATATGGTAGGAATGTTCCCCAGGGAGTGGAGATGGTGCACATTGTGCATGAATAAATCTGATGACTGGGGCAATAATATTTGTAAAACGCTTTATAGAGACGATAAACCATATTAAGCGCTATATAAATCCAAATTATTATTATCATTATCATAATTCGATTCAACTCAAATTCAATTCAAGGTTTATCAAAATATATCTTCGCAGTCGTTGATGGCTGAATTGTGATATATAGTTTACAGATGAAAACATGACGAATTAAAAAGGACATAGATTGACATAAATTTAAAGCAAAATAGAAATTAAGATTACAGAATTGCAGTTGAAATTCTAGTTAAAATATGTAATATAGAAAATATATTTTTATATCAATAATTATTTCCATAGATATGTGGCAGATATTATTGATTATTATTATTATTAATATTATTGATTACAGATATTGAATGAATGAATCACTGGGACAGGTCAAAGGCGATAGTTTCAATGATTGTGCTCAAAGCCCCACTGTCCTACTTGTAGCTACTTGCTCCCTCTATATAGAAAACTTCCCCAATCGGTGCCTGTTGGTCCCCCATGATCCTTTTTTTCTTATGTTAGTTGAGAGCTGAGTTAATGAGATAGCCACCTGTCAGTGACCTCGCTGTGTGGCCTAATCCCTTCTGGTCCAGTAGTATTGACGGTCTTTAAAACTGTAACTATATACCGGTACCTAATATGCATTTTTGTTTCAAAACAACTTTGCGTTTATCATCTCTCTGAAACGTGATTCATGAAAATTGCCTGAAACACGTTTCAAAACTCTGATTCTAGGCCAGAAAAGGGACCATAAACGTACCTGTTATTATAATAATAATAATATTTAAGATTTATATAGCGCTGGTATACAAGTACAGTTTCTAAGCGCTTTACAAAACAAGTGAAATGAAAACATATAGTTTGGCTATTTTGGAGAACAAGACTAAAGGATCGATCGAACAAGAGACAAACATGAAATGAGAAATAAATCATCTATTCCCTGTATATTAAAGCTACATACACATATTAATTAACACACATTATGTGGCAAATCATTGGAGATATTCTTTCCCTTGAACCAATAGAATCACTGATTAATACAGGTGTCAGGCTAATCTTCTGTGGCATAGCAATCATTACATAATCGCAAGGTCTTTTAATAACAATGGTTTTAGTTTCCTCAATTTGAAGGTTTCTTCTTTGAAAAAAGAAAAGCATTTCAATATAGCTCGAAGGTCCCTTGTTGGTTAATAATATGCAAAGAAAGTATATACAGATTTGTTACTCATTTAAAAAACCTAGAGAAAATTTATACTGATATTATGGAAACCCCAAACCTTTTTTTTTACAGATAATGGCAGCCATTTTTTACTAAGAAACTTCTCAAATTTCAAAAATTAAGCATTACAATTCTTCCAATTCAAGGCATGAAAGTTTTAAACCACTAAATCTGCTAAAAATTCCATGCATTGCAGGTTTCTGTTTTTTCTTCTTCCAGTAAGTTCTTTTGTTCATGATGGAATCTACATGTGTACATGTACATACTACATGCCAGGGAAAAAAATACTTTAACAATTTCGGGGGCTACTTTTCAAGCTTGCTTGCATGAAAAAAACACTCTTTAATTAGTTTTGCATTGAACTCTATGCAAAATTTTTGGGGCTCTTTTATGACTTTCGGGGGCTCTTTTGGGCATTTCGGGGGCTAATTCGCCCCAAGCCCCCAAGTATTTTTTTTCACTGCTACATGCACCTACAATATATCAAATGCACGAGTATATCCACATGCCCAGTCTTATTGCCACATCCATAACACATTCTCCTCTTAACATGGGTAAGATAAGAGAAGCTTGGGCCCTGTCTTACTACATGTAGGAGCTGTGATCGATTCCAATCAATGGCAAGTCCTTTAACAATGGCAAGTTTACAGTCTCCTATCTCGTATGTACATTGATATCAATTGCAAATACATGTAAGTGGGGATTAATCTCAACTATTTATAACATGAGGCCCTGCCATAGACTGCATTGTGAGTTAGAATCATTCCTGAAACTTGTCTGTCGTAAACTTTGCCTCTGATTCTAAACAAAATCCTGGATTTAGCTTATGCTGCATTCATAATTATAAACATTTAGGTCAGAAATGAATCCCATGACTTTTACAAGCCAATCACATTTTTACTTATAATATCAAGATATTTATGATTTGAATTCAGAATTTAATAAGAAATGGTTTTGAACAGTTTTTTCTTAACACTACAGTCTAGTATGGTAAAACTGGTCACTCAAAATATTTTACTTTTTTGACGCACGTCTTCATGATCTTTTTATTAGGGCTTCAATATTACACCATATCACAGACACTGATAACACGTAGGGCCATGCATCTCAGATTTGTAAAACTGTAAACATAGTTAAACAATGCCTTTATCCCTAACAGACATATAAAAGCAGAAGGATTACATAACACATGTCAACAATCATTAAGATACCCATCAGGTCGCTTGAAGGACAAATCAATACAGGAACATTCTTTCACTTCTGTGTTTGCCATCAGCCCACGTCAGAACACTGCATGACAGCCACATATTGTTCGGCAGACCAAGAAGTTACATGTACTTCTTGGGCAGACCAGGGGGTGTTTCACAAAGATCCTAAGTTTAACTTATCTCTAAGTTGGACTTGAAAATATTTAGTAAAAGTCATTTTAAAAAGCATAAAATGTTGATTCAAATCATTTATATTTTCTATTATAATGGGAGATTTCATGTTCTCGATGTGGACTTTATGAAAAGTCTAAAATACTTGGATTTTTGCTTTTGAATATATTTCAAAATAAGGCTACAGATGGCTCTCCATAATATTTAAGTCCAACTTTGAGTTAAGTTCGACTTTGAATCTTTGTGAAACACCCCCCAGATTTTATTGAGGGTTGTATATCGCTGGCTCTGGTAACAACAGGGTGGATTCACAATTTACAGCTCTCTCCCCCCCCCCCCCCCCCCCCTCTTCCACCACCCCTCCCCCTCCCCCAGCAAGCCACAACACTAACAGGCCATTTTTCAGCTCGCGGATCGCAATCTTTCAACCAGTACAGCGAAGCAAAATGCTACCCACCGATCGAAATTACAAAAGTCGTCCAACTGTAAATTCATAAAGTGGGATTGATTGCTCTGTGTGTGTGTGTGTGTTTTGGGTTTTTACAGACGTGTATCAATCAGATCTGATTATTTACGTCTGGGGACCGACCTTTAAACGTCACCATCCGAAAGACGTGACTCAGCTTCGAACCTGCGTCCTCAGCTGAATCAGTGTGTAACTTCCGATTTTAGCTGGATTGCAGGCACATGCCACAACGCTCTGATATCAGCACACGGTTATGTATTGAATTTGGATGTCAAAATCCACCCATCAAACGATTCTGACTGAAAATTTGACCTGTTTTTCAACAATAATCAATACAAATTGAAATAGTCAGTTTTGGCCAAAGATATTTTGAGATCGTCGTACATGAGATTCTCTGCGGTCAATGTCCTATACTTCCCAAATTTCAACCTTCAATCCAGGACTCGACTGTTTACTTAACCGTAAATACAATCTTAAACCTAATCTGAAAAACAAAAACATTTAAAGGCATTGGGCATCTTTGTCTCAGATTCTAAACAAAATCCTGGATTTTAATCTCCTACTTGCTGCTACTACTACATGCTGCAATCATAATGATAAGCCTTTAGGTCAGTCAGGAATCCCATGATGTTTATAAGCCCATCGCCCATCTGATTATCAAGATATTTATGATTGGAATTCGAAATTTAAAAAAACCGTTTTCCCAACGTTTATTTATATCACTACTGTCTATTGGGGAAAATGAGTATGGTAAAATCGGTCAATTAAAGATTTTTACTTTTTTGAGGCACTTCATGATCATTTTGAAGCACAATTTTGTCAGGGTTTCAATATTACACCATAACACAGACACTGATAACACATAAGAGCCGTGCATCTCGTATTTGGCATTGTTAAACAATGCCTTTAAAACCGTAACCGTGATAATATCAGTAAAGCGCTTAGAGATGGTATTCCGTATTATACAAATGATGCATGCGCATGAGTTCATTATACGATCTATCCGCACTTGAGTTGAGGCTGTGTGTATCGATCGCAAGAAGCCGTTAGGCTGAGTGCAATAGATAGAACGAGGGCGGATAGATCGTATAATGAACGAATGAAAACATGCATCATTTGTTTTATACAACGAAACTCCTAGATCCTGGTTATTTGATGTAAAAAGATTATTTCAAGATTGTTTCGTGACAGTATGGCTGACAAATAAATCTAATGATAATAAATTTAATAGGCTTAATTTAGTGTGCACACATAGATAAGCTGCATGCACACTTACCTCCATACATATTTAGACAATAGTGCTGTGCAAGAATACGCCCACACGCATTATAAGCGCTCTAACCTCTACGCGCACTATTGCGCATTATGTATACGCACTAAAAAAAGTGTGCTAATACTGGTAACTATTGGACGCTTTTTCATGAAAAAACGTGCGATAGTCTCAGTAAATGAATCATACGTGACCGCGCATGACCAATCATTTGATTTGAATCTAGGAGTGAGTTGTATAATAAGCTCTATATGACTCCAGATTATTATCATTATTAAATGGAGGATAGTATTTTTCTCACCTGTGAATTTGTGTGTCTACCGCCTAAGGTAAAGGGCATGGTTGTTACGTTGGAGCCTTTAAGGACGTCACTCCAGTAAGCAGACACTGTAATGTTCTGTGCATACACAGGAACAAAGTTCATATTTGCAAGAGAGAATTCCATCTGTTGTTGAAGATATGCAAAAGAAAAGGAGAAAATATTATTCGGTGTTAAAGATAAACTTGAGTTCTGGTAAAAAAAGAAAATGAATTCTCACAGAATCAAACAAAACTTACACTGAATGTTCAAGATTACAAATAAATGTCATGTGCCAAACAATTTTGGAAGTAAATGTATACTGGCTGAGTAATGAGCATAGAAAGATAAGGAAATCAAGGTATAGTAGCCCCGACACTATTTGTGTAGTCCCATGCATATACATCTTTCTGTGTACAGTGTTTGTTACTTTAAAGACTGGGCCAAATTTATTGTGATTTTAATGACTCCAGAACTTTGCAGTACACACCAATACTTACATGCTACATGATCAACTTTTTCTCATCCATTCCACACCTTTTCTTTCACAATGCAATCGCATGACCAGAATTCAACTTTATCTTTAATGGATAATGTTGTTACGGAGAGAATAGACCTCATTGCTCTATGTTATGTATATAGGTACCAAATAAATAAAACATTTATCCAAAGTCCTTTGGAAGTGGATTGTACCGTAATAATAGTGGGTTCTTGTATAGCGCACATGTCTGTCATACGTGACTCCTGGCGCTCCCAATTATTACCCTGGCTTTAGCACGGCTGCTATACGGCGCTCTAGCATTTCAAGGAATTAATTCCAGAAAGGTACATCTATATTATTATCATTTATTAAAAAAAAAATTGAAATCAATGTGATAGAGCCTCCCATCAGGCAGCAACCTGAAAATTAGCATCCTTGTTTGAAATTACTGAAAATTCTAGAAATGGGTTAAATACCGGTATTCTTCTTCTTCTTCCTCAATACGTGCGACAGACTTGTTAGTCCATGTAGAGACATGGAAACGAGGCACGTGGGCATGGCATAGAACGATCTTTCAGGAATTTTAGCGCATTGGATCTACAGGAATCAGTTGATCCCATGTTGTTAATGCTATCAGGTAATTTATTCCAGTCCTTGCACGTACAAGGGAAATGGTAGAACCTTGTATGTCTTGTGCTATGAACCGGGATTGGATTTTTTTTCATTCATTAATTCATTTATATATTTATCTATTTATTCATATTTCATCTGTTAATTCTCATGCTTTCATTTCTTCTTTCTTTTCTATTTATTTTGGGGTATAGGGTACCCCCCCCCCCCATATATCAGAGTTAGTTGGAGCACCCAAGTAACATAGATTATTACTTCTTGTTGAAAAGAGAAGGTACACAACGTCTAATGCGATGCCAAAGTCTTAAGCAGGGCTCCCACTTAGCCGAGTTGGAGCCTCGAGTTGTGGCGAGCTGGCGCGATCTTATGGCAAGCAGTTTTATCATTTAAACATAATTCTTGATATCAAGAATTCAATTCTTGATATCACGAAATCGAATTCCTGATATCACGAAATCAAATTCTTGATATCAAAAATTACCGTTGCTTTACAACGTAAAATTATTTCTTGATATCAAGAATTAATTTCTTGATATCAATTTATAATAAAAGGGCTTGCCATAAGATCGCGCCAGCTCGCCACAACTCGAGGTTCCAACTCGGCTAAGTGGGAGCCCTGCTTCAGGCTAAAGACTCGTTGGGAGGAGGAGATACATATTTCTTTGTGATTCATTAATACAAAACAGCTGTTTTATTTATATTAACACAGTTTCATAATGACTAGATGATATAACATGAAGCAGAAAAAACAGCTGTTTTATTCATATTAACACAGTTTGAAAATGACTTGATGATATAACATGAAGCAGAAAAAAAGACTGTTTACCTGAAGTTGTAGCCTCATTTCTGAAGTAGTTTTATTCAACCAAACATCCGCCGTTACTACGTCATCTACGGATAAAAGAACCGCTTTTGGAACCAGAAAGCCGCACAGCACCCCGGCTATTATTGCACAAGCCAATATAGATATGATTACATAGCACCCCCTGTGAAAAGGACAAAATAGAGTATGACAAAAATCAGACAAAACAAGGTTTTTTTCACAAAACTTGTCATCAGTGACAAATGACAGTTTTTGTTATTAAGCTACTGAAATTCATGCTTCTGATTGGTTGTCAGCAGATTTGTCACTGATTTTCGTCATTTGTCATTGAAAAAAGGCTTTGTGAAATGGGTACCTGGACTGAGATGTGATTAGGACTGGAAAGGTAAAGTTGCTCTCAACAAACAGACAGACAAACAACCATACAAACAGACAGACAAACAACCATACAAATAGAGAGACAAACAAACATACAAATAGAGAGACAAACAAACATACAAATAGAGAGACAAACAAACATACAAATAGAGAGACAAACAAACATACAAATAGAGAGACAAACAAACATACAAATAGAGAGACAAACAAACATACAAACAGACAGACAAACAACCATACAAACAGACAGACAAACAACCATACAGACAAACAACCATACAAATAGAGAGACAAACAAACATACAAATAGAGAGACAAACAAACATACAAACAAACAACAAATATAGTATGCAAAATACAAATAGGCTTTTAATTTTACAAAAGAAAATTATAAGAATTATATCACACAGCCAATACCTTGCTCATACTTTACCTCTTTTTTACAACCTAAATTTTTTAAAAGTAAACGATATATATGTTTATCAATGTGCAATTTTTATGTATCTATGCTTTAAAAAACTTTTACCAAATACTATTTTACAATATTTTCAACTTAATAAGAATATTCATGGCCACCAGACCAGGATTTTAAATAATTTTCATATTCCAGGAGTATAGGACACTAGTTTCCCAAAATACAAGTTTTTTCAGGGGTCCAAAAATTTGGAATGACATACCCATAGATATTCGACAAACAAACATACAAATAGAGAGACAAACAAACATACAAATAGAGAGACAAACAAACATACAAATAGAGAGACAAACAAACATACAAATAGAGAGACAAACAAACATACAAATAGAGAGACAAACAAACATACAAACAGACAGACAAACAACCATACAAACAGACAGACAAACAACCATACATCCAGACAGACAAACAACCATACAAATAGAGAGACAAACAAACATACAAATAGAGAGACAAACAAACATACAAATAGAGAGACAAACAAACATACAAACAAACAACAAATATAGTATGCAAAATACAAATAGGCTTTTAATTTTACAAAAGAAAATTATAAGAATTATATCACACAGCCAATACCTTGCTCATACTTTACCTCTTTTTTACAACCTAAATTTTTTAAAAGTAAACGATATATATGTTTATCAATGTGCAATTTTTATGTATCTATGCTTTAAAAAACTTTTACCAAATACTATTTTACAATATTTTCAACTTAATAAGAATATTCATGGCCACCAGACCAGGATTTTAAATAATTTTCATATTCCAGGAGTATAGGACACTAGTTTCCCAAAATACAAGTTTTTTCAGGGGTCCAAAAATTTGGAATGACATACCCATAGATATTCGACTGAGTCCATCACTAAATAGTTTTAAAAGAAAATTTAAACTGTACCTGTTAAGACAATACTCAATAGTGCAATAACCTATATTCTTAATGTTCATCAGACAGAAAAGTGTGTGTTGGTGTGTATGGGAGAGAGTGTATGTGTGAATGCAATTCTATTACATAACATTCGTACAAGTCTTCAGAGGGTTAGCATATTTCCAGGTGCTAGGCAGTGAGATCACACAAAGGAAATTCAAAGAAAAGAATTTCAAATGAGGAAAGGAACCTTATAAATAGGGTTCGCGGGCGCACGTAGCCATCTTTTCTTTTGTGTGTGGCAGTAAGAACACCTATTTTCTTTCGACAGTACATGCAGACGGACTTCGACATGCAGACGGAGATTTTCGAGCAGGGAGCCGATGAGTCGACGGGGACTGATCCGGCGGAATCCCTGGTGGGCAAAGTCGCCGCCCAGTCCGCAGAACTTAGGAAGCTTTCTTCCAAGATGTCTCGGTTTATGGATGTTATGTCCACAAATCAAAATGAGACAGTCCCACGTGCGAAGCATGGGGGCGATTTACCTGATGATGACTTGCTCAGCATTTTCGCTGATAACAGTGTATCTATTTGTTCGTCGCCAAGCAGGGCGGATAGTTACGACCCTGAGTTGGATCTATTGGAGACACCGGGTGTGGTGGAATCGAATGTAGTTTCGAGTTTCTTTCCACCCGATTGTGACCTGTATAAGGGCACATTGGATTTCAGATCGCCTGTGTCTGATAGCCTGGCGGCTCGCATGACCAAAGCAGTAACGCTTCCTCCGAAGAAGGAAAGCATTGAGAAGATTGCTACTCAATATCTTACACCGGAGAATGCTCCAGCGGTTTGCACGCCGAGGATTCCCCAGGAACTGTGGGGCTCAATTCCACCGAATTATCGTGCTGCCGATAGTCGTGCACAGAAGTTGCAGACTCATATTGTGAAAGGTTTGCTTCCCTATGCGGAGATTCTTTCAGAGTTACAGAGCGCGGCTTCGGAGAAGCGCGATGTGGATACCAACCGCATTAAGCGTCTCGCCCTCGACGGTATCACACTAAGCGGTTTTGCCTCCTACGAAGTGAGCATGAGGCGTAGGGAAGAATTGAAGCCCTCTTTTAACCCCAAGTACAAGGGTATTTGCAGCCGTTCAGTATCGGTATCTGAGGGCCTCTTTGGAAGTGAATTTCAAGCGACCCTTAAAGGGGTCGGAGACTCGTTTCTGGTCAGTCAGAAAATTTCGCCTCAGAACTTCAGGGGGCGTGCCAAGCGCAACTATCAGCGACCAGCCCCATATCGGCAGGACAAGCGGGATTATTCTCGTTTTTCGAGGGATCGCAACAGCGGCCCATCTGGATTTAAGGAGTTTCGCGCCCCAGCGACAGTTTCCAAGGCTCCACAGTCCAAGTACAACGCAGATCGGGGCAAGTTTAACAAGCCCGGTTTCCCAAAAAACTAGTAAGTGACCTTTCCCAGTCAGGGAGACTCAGGTTTTTCAAAGATGAGTGGTCGCGTCTGACGTCTGATTCTTGGGTTTTAGACGCAATCGGTGGTTATAAAATTGATTTTTGCTCTCTTCCTTTTCAACGTTGCTCACCGAGCAATTACGTTGCCTCTCTTATAGAGAAGGAAGCAATTAGTAGGGAGATTGTTTCCCTTCTCGAGAAAAATGCAATTAGAAAAACATCTAGACAGGACCTTGTTTTCTTGTCTTCTATTTTCACGATTCCGAAGAAATCAGGAGAACGCAGACCAGTCATTAATTTGAAAAACCTGAACACTTTTGTCAAGTATGATCATTTTAAAATGGAAAAGTTTAAAAATGTTCAAGATCTGATGATGCAATCTGATTTCATGACCTCAATTGATTTGAGGGACGCTTATTTTTCAATCCCGATTCATGAAGATCATCACCGTTTCTTAGGTTTTTCGTGGGAGAAGGCCTATTATTGTTTTCAATGTTTACCATTTGGACTAAGCTCAGCACCTAGAGTATTTACAAAAGTTTTGAAACCGGTGATGGCCGCTATAAGATGCAGGGGCATTCGTTCTATGATTTATTTGGATGATATAATTATTTTCGCTAATTCGAGGCAAGCAAGTCTCGAGCACACTAGTTTTGTGTGTAATTTATTATCATCTTTGGGATTCGAAATAAATTTCGAGAAGTCTTGTTTATCCCCTAAAACTGACACAACTTATCTGGGTTTCTGCATTGATTCGGCTAGTATGTCGATAAGTTTACCTGGTGAGAAGGTGGAGAAATTGAAATCAGTAGGAAGCTCTATTCTAGCTTCGAATCGGGTCATTGTTCGGGACCTTGCGAAGTTCATTGGCATTATTGTTTCTTCCTTTGAGGCCTTTCCAAAAGGGAGGATTCATTACCGCAAATTGGAATCTTTCAAAACTAAAGCGCTTGAATCTTCAGGTGGGAATTTCGATTCTTTTGTGTCTCTCAATACCGACGCATTATGCGAAATTCAATGGTGGCTCTCGATCCCATCGGATGCGTTCACTATACGCCCGCTAAAATGCCTCCTATCAGCATCACATTACGTACAGATGCAAGTAGCACGGGATGGGGAGCTTTCTGTGAGAATGATTATTCATTTTCTCAAGGGGTTTGGTCATCTAAATATGCCGATCTACATATTAATGTTCTGGAATTGCTTGCAATTCAACACGCATTATCATCATTATGCAATTCACGGATGAATGCCCATATTCATATTAAGTCTGATAATAGTTCCGCCGTATCTTATATTAAGAAGTTTGGTGGGCGTATCTCCATGTTAGATGGAATCTCCCGGGCCATTTGGTCATGGTGTTTTGAACGTAATATTTGGCTTTCTGCATCTCACCTGGCTGGGATTGCAAATATTGAGGCAGACACGCTTTCACGTAGAGATCTTAACAAAGAGCTTCAACTTTGTCCCGATAGGTTTTTCTCTATTTGTCAGCATTTCAATGTATGTCTCGACGTTGATTTGTTTTCTTCTCGTTTCAACAATCAATTACCATGTTATGTAACCTGGAAGTATGACCCTTGTGCTTTTGCAGTAGATGCTTTTACCATCTCTTGGAATGCATTGAACATATATCTCTTTCCTCCTTTTTGTCTTCTTACTAGGGTCTTGCAGAAGCTTCGGGAGGACAAGGTGGACATTGCCCTTCTAATCGCTCCTTTGTGGCGAGCCCAGCCATGGTATCCCATCCTTCAGTTACTTGTCGCCCCACCCCTTCTACTACCTCCGAACTCTCTCGTGGGACATTCAAACCCATTCCCAAACCTCAAGCTAACCGCCTGGATTATCTCAACAAAGGTTGGCGCTCAGCGGGCCTTTCGGAACACGCTTCCAGCCTCATCGCCCTCTCTTGGCGAGATGGAACCAACAAACAATATGAATCGGCTTGGCAACAGTGGCTTCGCTGGTGTGATTCACAATCGCTTGATCCCTTTGACTCGTGTATTGTAAACGTGATTAATTTTCTTAGTGCTCAACAGGGTTTAGGAAAATCCTACTCTACTATTAATTCTTATCGTTCTGGCCTTTCTTCTGTACTACCACCAATGGAAGGCTTTCCAGTTGGCAAGCATCCCATGGTAATAAGATTATTGAAGGGGATATTTAATGCAAACCCTCCTAAACCAAGGTACCAAAGCACGTGGGAAGTCTCCAGGGTTTTGGATTATTTGTGTTCAATGGCAGAAAATTATCAACTTTCTTTGTTTCATTTGAGTCAAAAACTTGTGTCGTTAGTCGCACTTGTTACAGCGCAACGTACACAGACTCTCAATCATTTAGATATCTCTTTCATGCACATTTCAGATGATCGTGCAGTTTTTCAGGTCATGGATGTCTTAAAAACGACTACTCCAAAAAAGGGTATTGCTAAGCAAATAGTTGAGCTTCCTTCTTTTCCTTCGAATAAGAAGTTGTGTGTTTTGTTAACTCTTAAGGAATATCTTAATCGTACCAAACCTCTTCGTGAATGTCATGGGGAAACGAAGCTCTTTATTTCAACTAGAAAACCTCACAAATCGGTAACCTCCAGTACTTTGGCAAGATGGTTAAAATTCTCTGTTTGCTTCAGGCATTGACACATCAGTATTTTCGGCGCACAGTTTCAGGAGTGCCGCTACTTCTTCTGCTTTCGCTCATGGGGTCACCTTGAAAGAAATAATGAAGAAAGCTGACTGGTCAAATGCCCGAACATTCAAAACCTTTTACCACAAACCCGTCGTTGAAGATGGAACTTTCGCTTTTTCGGTTTTAGCTCAAGCTTCTTGAAATTTATGTTCTATATCATGACATTTTCACGAAAGAGGGCTCTATGTTAAATGAGAAGAAGGTTCGCTTCTCTTTGGTAATCAATTTTTGGTACAGTTCCATTAAAGGAAAATCCTAGGTTACTAGAGATGTATTTACATGATTCACGTGATCGTAGTTTACTTTTAAGCAAGACTGATTTAGTCAAGGAGATCTGAGTAATCCTTTTATGCTTCATTATTTTTGTGGTTCGTGTTATGATTAAACATTTGATACACCTGCAATTCAAGTGTTGGTTGTTTATTCATGTAAGTTCGTCTTTTTTTCAGATTCTGTGATCTGCTCTTTGAATATGCTAACCCTCTGAAGACTTGTACGAATGTTATGTAATAGAATTCCTAAATTATGCAAATAACATGAAGTATAATTAGAATTCTATTAATAATAATGAAGTACAAGTCGAGGAGGGTCCCTCCCTTCAAGATCTTTTGCTGAAGATTCCCTCCCTTCTGGATTTTTGTTATTGTTCAAATCACAGAATCTTCTCTCTTTTTTAATTGGGAGTGTATATATCCTGGCTTCATGTCTGTTTGGACTTTAGCTGTTGTTTGACAGGAGTTATGTTTTGATTGATTGGATATGATCGATTGTAGTTTTTGTTTGATTGATTATGATTGATTGAATGGATTTGATCTATTGTAGCTTTTGTTATGATCAATAATATGATATTTCGGTTTTTGGACAAATATTTACTCTGTTTTGGGGAGAGTTTTTCGTTTGTTGACACCTCTTCCTTCTTTGAAAAGATGGCTACGTGCGCCCGCGAACCCTATTTATAAGGTTCCTTTCCTCATTTGAAATTCTTTTCTTTGAATTTCCTTTGTGTGATCTCACTGCCTAGCACCTGGAAATATGCTAACCCTCCTCGACTTGTACTTCATTATTATTAATAGAATTCTAATTATACTTCATGTTATTTGCATAATTTAGGAATTTTTCCCCCTTTTTTTTCTTCCTTTTTATAACAAATACAAAATTTAAATAATGTACTTAGTTTTTTATACAATTACTGGAGACAGACTTTTACATAAGGCCCGGCCTTCCTGTCTAGTCTCCAAATATTTTCATTAATGTACATGTTTAAAATGTTTTTCCCTTGTCCATCATGTCTTCTCCACTTGTGTTATCCTCATGTTATATATTGATACATGTATTATATTCTAACTTTTATATGTTTGCTTTCCTTGTATATTTTTAATGAAAGTATTGAATAAAGTGAACTTGAACTTGAACTTGAACTTGAACAAATATTTCATATCACCTATAACCCAAGGAAACCTTCCTTTTTATGGAAAGACCCCAAAAAGAGGCCGCATGTACAAACAAAATACTTTCTTGTTCTAACACTGAAAAGTAAAAGACTTTCTGTTTTGTTTTATTTAGATCAAGTATCGACTGTTGGGAGCCAGAGGGGTGTCATTCTGTGCTGAAGTCTATGAATTAATCATTCCATATTTCATACCAATATGGCTGGACGTGAGAACCCAACGTACATGTTGTGTATAATTAGTCCAAACACATGCATCCTTTACTTCAATGCTAATGTTTACCATTCATTGTTGACAATACCTTAAAGGTAAAGACCAGTATTGGAAATGCCCCAATTTCAAAAAAGGAAATGGAAGCTCTCATTACCAATCATGTGAAAGAATATGTTTTGACCAATACATGATGATAAAAAATTTGCCGGGAAACTGCCTAATAATTTATATATTTGGTAAATTTGTTTCTCTCATGGTCTGTGAGAGATATAGGGTAGTCCCATATACATCTTTCTGTGTATAGTGCTTGTAACTTTACGAAGAATGGGCCAAATTTCTTATCATTTTGATGATTCCAGAACCTTGCAGATGCTGATCGATTCCACAACGTTTCTTTCACAATGCAATCGCATGACCATAACTGGTCTTTACCTTTAACAGGCATCACATAAATAGATTTCAGTCACCATTGTATAATGATTAGCATTCATTTTCACAGATCATACCGTAAGGCAAACGATTTTGAAGTACCTAGATTTCATGATGCCACTGACACAATGGGTCAAGGCCATTTCATGTTGGCAAAGGAAATACACTCAACAACTCCATGCATTGATAATCATTAAAGGTAATACAAAGTTTTGGAAAATTTTGAAAATTGGCTGGATAATGATTCTTTACAATTTTGATATATTTGGATGCCCCTGTGGACGTATTATAAGCACCAGAAAATTTGGTCCCTATAAAAACACTACTGCTTTTGAGAAAAATTGAATATAAAAAATTACTGGTGCTCCCGGTAAATTTTGATAAATTTCAAGTAGCGCCTACGGCCATACAATGGTAGCTGCGACCATGAAAATCTCAGAATGTGTATTTGTGATATATAATTTCCAAACTGGATAAGCCAATTCGTCAATTTCAGTCAGGAAACATTGTTTATAGCTAAATTAATATCTTGACCTTGAGAGAGAGCTATACAACACAAAGAGCTTATTATTTACAATATCATCACTTTAGAGTCGATTTCAACCGCGACAACCATCACTGAACATTGTAGGACCGCATATGCTTCCAATATGTTCTTTTGAACCAAATTCATGACCCCATACCAAAACTTTGTAATACCTTTAACATAACTTTTTTATATTGAAATCTAAACTGCAGAACGATTCTCCTTCAAACCCTTGATTTGAATCTACTTCACACCGATCTACCAGTACAATTTTATTATAAAATTTATAGTTTTACATGGACATTTTCCCATTGTTTAATGTGAAAGCCACCCTGATATTGAGTTGGTTTTCATGAAAGCGGAAAAATGTGAGAATTAAACTAGAGAAATTTTGAGCAATATTCGCTTAAAGGTAGGAGAGTTATGATTTTTTAAAGTTGTCATCAGTGAAAAACAGCTGTAACGCATCTTGCAGGCTTCTGTCCAATTTGCTCTGTACAGAAAATTTCATAAAATATTTTCTTAGTTATTGATGACAGAAGAGATATGTTTCATATACGGGTTGTATAAATACATATTTGCAATATTTATCTTTAGTCAAACAGAGTCAAAGGAAAGTAAATTCTAAGCAGAGTCTTAAAGGTACTATGTCCCTTTTGCAGCCAACCTCAAATGCTGTAGAACTTTGCAGGAATTATGAATATATGTCATGTAGTCTAGATCTATGTCCTATCTGTGAAATTTAAACGTTAGCAGTGTCCTCATATTCAAATTATGCAAGGAAACCCGTTTACTTGCTAGACTTCACCGTCAGACACTATTGAGTGACTGACTGGCTTTTTTTCTTCTTTGGTAATAACATACACTGTACATGAAAAGAGTTGTAAAGGGTACATGAGCATTTGTCTACATCAATAACCCACTTCTTGTGATGGCCAAGATTAAACTGATTGAATCTTTGCGCAGCATAAAACGTATGACCATTTGGTACAATTGTCTGAAAATCAAGACTATTACTTTTGGGCTCTATAGCCCTAAAGTCGATTTGACAACTAATAGTCGTTATTTTCCCACTTGAAGACATTTTCAAGCCCCACCTTTTTTAGGGAAGTTCTAAATTAGTATTATCTTTCAAATGCAGTTGGAATTTAACTTTTTTTGGCCTGCAAATGGGACATAGTACCTTTAAGTTTAGTTAAGAAAATTGGAAGGCTATTGGCTACTGTTACACCGTGGGCACGTATGAATCAAAATTCAAAATAAAAACAATAAGGTAGACTTACGTTCTCCTAGGTTTCAGTCTTTCATCGTTGTAAGGAATTAAGGCTACAAGATCATCTTCTCTACCTAGTCATCAAACAGAAAGAAAAAAGTTATATGTAGTGGCGTAGCCAAGGGGAACAAGGGGGCACATCCCCGAATCGAATGGGGACAAAAATTTAAGAAATCAGAGAGCGACAGAGAAAAAGACTGAAGACAAATGGTGAAAAAATGAGAGAGACAGGAAGAGGGGGAAAGGGAATGCAAAATAATAATATGATCCCCTCCCCAATGATTAGTCGATAAGCATGCATAGCTGCCAACCTTGTGTGACCAAAAAAGGGAACTATGATGGCAACAAAAGGAATTTCAAGCAAAAAAAAGGAATTCATTAGAACGAAACTTACAACCACGCGCCACACACTTTCAATGCACAGAATGTCCATTCCTCACGCTGTTTTTTTCCCTCCATATTAGGACCTATAGATTATATACATGTATATATACATTAAGTAGGCATTTTGTTTGTTATTTTGGTATTATCGACGTTTCGTTCTTTTTGATAATATTTTCCTCTTCAAGTATGTTTTCAAGTATGTTTTAACCTCAGTTTTTTATTGAATTTGTGATCAAATTAACATTTAAGGGCAGTTGTTGGATGTGCGATATATGTAAAAAAAATTATAAAAATTATAAAAATTATTAAAAAAAAAAAGAAGATTTTATGAAGAAAAAACGTACTACCGTAATCGGGAGGAAAAAACAGAATAATTCCGGGAAAAACGTAACGGTTTGCAGCTCTGAGCCTGTCATCCACCAGTAAGCCCAGTACCCCCACCCCCCTCCCCCTGCAATATCCAGACTCCTGCTAAGCCACCGATTAAATGATAATAATAATAATATTAAACATGTATGTTTATCTGTTACAAAACAAATTACATTGAATATTGAGTAGTAGAATGCTACTAAGAGAGATGTTTGGGTTTTTTCATCAAATTTTGCTAAAATTTTGCTGTTTCAAACGACCACACAACATTTCAGAATTTCTGTTCATTTATGTCCATCAATGCTTCATATTTGTTTCCCCTTAACCACTGCAGTTTCACCAAGGAGTGTCAATGAACATTTGGACATCCTTGGTCTCATGAGGTATGTCCTCATCAGCTTGAGATTGCCAAATAGCCTGCTATTTCTGATTTGGGAAATAAGCCCAAGGTGACAAATCGCGTCATCATCAGCTCGAGGCTCGACATCGAAACTCGAGCTCGAGAAATTAGCTGGAGATATTTTGCTCAGCGTTTGTGCTTTGGGCTTTTGAGTCTTTGGGCTGGTGAAGATGCATGGGACAAATAGTGGGATATTTTGTAAACTAGCCCAATATATCTTGGGATGATTATATCGACTAAATTTCCCGCTAATTGCAACTGTGGGCTGATGAAGACGCAAATTAGCTGGATAATTTGCGATCGGGACAGTTAAAATAGCGGGTTATTTGACAATCTCGAGCTGATGAGGACAGGCCCATGAAGCAGATCTTACACACTAACCTCTAGGGATTTTCCCCAAACCGTGGCAGGTTGGGCATGTGAAGCCGTTGGAGAGTTCCTCGTACGTGTAAATACCATTGCCGTTGCTATCGTCAGAAATGGGCGCGCTGGGGTTCGGGGGGAGGGGTCTGCCAGGGTTGCCTCGATGGCGCTGAGGTCGTTGGAACGGTGTCTCATGGTGGTGGTGGGTTTGTTGCTGACGCTGCTGCTGTCTGCTACATTGTTGCGAGTGTTGTCCAGCAGGGGTTGTTTCTCTGACTTACTGTCACTCATGGCTTCTTCTGTGGAGCCACCATCACCATCCTGTTTCAGGGTAAAAATGGATAACATGACAGTTAATTGAGTCCAAACAGCAATAGGCTAAATCCTAACCAGTTGTAGACCAAACTGCAATTTAATTAGCTAAATCTTAACCAGTTGAAGACCAAACTGCAATTTAATAAGCTAAATCTTAACCAGTTGTAGACCACACTGCAATTTAATAAGCTAAATCTTAACCAGTTGAAGACCAAACTGCAATTTAATAAGCTAAATCTTAACCAGTTGTAGACCACACTGCAATTTAATAAGCTAAATCTTAACCAGTTGTAGACCACACTGCAATTTAATAAGCTAAATCTTAACCAGTTGTAGACCAAACTGCAATTTAATAAGCTAAATCTTAACCAGTTGTAGTCCAAACTGCAATTTAATAAGCAAAATCATAACCAGTTGTAAACCAAACTGCATTTTAATAAGCTAAATCTTAACCAGTTGTAGACCGAACTGCAATTTAATAAGCTAAATCTTAACCAGTTGAAGACTAAACTGCAATTTAATGAGCTAAATCTTAACCAGTTGGAGACCAAACTGCAATTTAATAAGCTAAATCTTAACCAGTTGAAGACCAAACTGCAATTTAATAAGCTAAATCTTAACCAGTTGAAGACCAAACTGCAATTTAATAAGCTAAATCTTAACCAGTTGAAGACCAAACTGCAATTTAATAAGCTAAATCTTAACCAGTTGAAGACCAAACTGCAATTTAATAGGCTAAATCTTAACCAGTTGTAGACCAAACTGCAATTTAATAAGCTAAATCTTAACCAGTTGAAGACCAAACTGCAATTAATAAGCTAAATCTTAACCAGTTGAAGACCAAACTGCAATTTAATAAGCTAAATCTTAACCAGTTGAAGACCAAACTGCAACTTAATAAGCTAAATCTTAACCAGTTGGAGACCAAACCGCAATTTAATAAGCTAAATCCGAACCGGATGTAGACCAAATTGTGCAAACAGCAATAAGCTAAATTACAAGTACTTTATAGAGATATCCCATGCATACATGTACACATCTCCACTTGAGTATGACAAATGTATCAGTACCTCTGTACAAGTACCTGCACATGACAAGAAGTCACTGATTAACGACTATGCAAGTACAGTTCATGTATGTGTCATCACTTAATACTTCAGTTTAAAAAGCAGTGGCTTTCTAAAGCATAATACAGTTTGTATGTACACTGTATAGTGTACATACTATTCTTAGGACCCAGTAACCAGGGGCCCGTTTCACAAAGCATTTTTTCAATGACAAATGACAGAAATCAGTGACAAATCTGCTGATAACCATTCAGAAGCAAGGATTTCAGTAGCTTATAACAAAAACTGTCACTTGTCACTGATGACAAGTTTTGTGAAACGCCCCCCCCCCCCCCCCCCCTGGACATGCAAAGAGCGAATATAAGGTTAGCACTTCGGTGCTCTATAATATGAAGCGAGTCTCCTCATATTCCATAGAACTAATTAAATACCTAAGTCAGCTCAGCTGGAATCAGTGAATTTACACAATCACATGCAGTCACACATCAAGCTAAAGTTGACAGGCCTGTCCAGGCTGCTGTCATTTTTTTCTCACGAGAGTTCTGGACCTTGGCTGGTATGTTTTACATCATTCGCAGCTTGGAAAGAGGTCACAAACAATTAGACTTTTATTATTTATTGCTGTGCCTCACTATTTATAAAGGCAAAAAATAGAACTGAATAAATACCGAGATTCAATTCCACAACTCCAACATTGTATTACGCTGTCATATACCGATTGAGCGATTGGTTGATGAAAGGCATGGGTTTGCATAATTATTATAACCCTATTTATACTAACCCTAAAGGTTACAATGTGCGCATGCGCAGGTTTACTGATTGAATGATTGGTTGATGAAAGGCATATGGGTTTGCATAATTATTATAACCCTTTAAACCAACCCTGAAGGTTACAATGTGCGCATGCGCAGGTTTCCTTCGCAAGCTCAATTTGGGCTCGCTATATAGAATGAAAAAATAAGACACGTCCAGGCTATGTACAGTACATGTAAATGTATATACTAAATAGTCAAAGTTTCCTTTCACATAGCATTTCCATGTGTTCCACCTTTTCACATCATAGCTGTTAAAGGTAAAGTCCAGTATTGGAAACGCCTCAATTTCAAAACAAAAATGGAAGCTCTTATAACCAATCATGTGAAATAATATGTTTTGACCAATACATGATGATAAAAATTTTGCCGAGAAACCGCCTACTAGTTGATATATTTGGTAAATTAATTTATCAATAAATTAGTTTATCTATTGGGATGTGAGAGATAAATGCACGTGTCGTGCACGTGTCGCGCACGTGTGCGTAGTCCCATCTTTCTGTGTACAGAGCTTGTAACTTTACGAAGACTGGGCCAAATTTCTTATCATTTTGATGATTCCAGAACCTTGCAGTACACACCAATACTAATATATGCTAGATGATCAACCTTTTCTGATCGATTCCACGACGTTTCTTTCACAATGCAATTGCATGACCATAACTGGTCTTTATCTTTAATACAAACTCGATCCACAATCACATCCTCGATTTAATAACATAGATGTACCTGGCCTTGATGAATGGAGATAAGAGGAGGTCTGATCATTTCCAATCTTCTCGACATGGTTCAAAATAAACAAAGACAGCCAGGTTAGTAGGACTTAACTGGAGAGGAAAGAGTTGGAAGTAAATGAACAGGTGTAATTCCAATACACTTCTGATGGTAGATAAGGTTGAGTCATGGTCGAATCAATATATCCTGTCCAACACTTTTTCTTTCCACCTCCTTGTTTGGAACTCTGCTACTCTCTATAACAACTAGCTCTGTCCCTGTTCCAGTTGCATATATTTACATGTGCAGTGCAGAATACCAGGTACAATGACACCATGGCTATTCAATGACATTACTGAGCTCTCAAAAAGGCTATAATACCTCTTTGTCATGAATAAAGTCATGTGATCTTCAATTGAGCAAAAAGTAAAAAGGTACACAAACTTTTCCCAAAAGAGCTCTATATTCACTATGAACATGACAGACAATGAAAGCGGACAAAATATACAGTTCCTCAGGTAGACAAAGGAACATCCCTTAACTGCTATTATGTACAAATGTGTAGAACAGGTGAATATGCATTTGACACCTGTTCTACACATTTTTACATAATAGAAGTGAAGGGATGTCCCTTTGTCTACCCGATGAACTGTATATTTTGTCCGCTTTCATTGTCTGTCATGTTCATAGTGATATTGTCACCGGGGTTCTTTGCATTCTCCTAGACACTCACTGCAGCTTTGTTTGGAGGTTTCATTATGTTCAGGACTCATGAAGATTTACTTGCCTGAAGTGAATGGATTAAAGCCCATATCTGCACTAGTTTAGCGGGATTAAAGCCCATCTGCACTAGTTTGGCGAGGATCGGGATTAGACCTCACTGCAAGGTCACTGACACTGACAGGTGGTTACCTCATCAAATCAGCTCTCAATTAGCATAAGAAAAAGGGGATCATGAGGCACCAATGGTCACAGATTAGGCATTGTTTGCTATATAGAGGGCGCAAGTAGCTACAAGTAGTGCAGTGGGGCTTTAAAATACTGCCCATACCAACACAAATCCAATGCAGTAAAGAGGGGCACATAAGCTGAAGCTTCAAGCCTCACCACCAAAAAGAAGTAAAAAAAAAAGAAGAGCTCTGCAACTTGCGTATTACAGTTCAGGGACTTTTGGACAATTGTCTAGGTACATTTCTCTTCCAAGAAACAGTTCTATAATGACCAGCCCAGGCATTGTTATGTCCAGACACTGTGTGTGCTTGTATAAGACCTGCTATTGAGGCTTGACCATTCATTCATTCATTCATATGCAGATCATTAACTGACCACCACAAACCCCTGTACAGCATGTATGTCGCAGGGTCAACTCAAACTGTTTTTAGGATTTTGGCCAAGCCGGCTTGTTCCAGACTTCCAGTTACAGCAAAGAATATGGTTACGCCTAATATACTGTACCTTGTTCACATACATGTACATGTATATACGCAACTAATATGACAATTGATGCAGAGCATGGATTTTCTTAGTTTTCATAGGGTTTTAAGTGCTTTTGAAGAGGACAGTGTGTTTTTTAAAATAAATATTTTGTATAGGGGGGTGGTGCATCTACATGTATATGGGCATTGAGAAATTCATTAAAGTTAAAAAGAAGAGGGAGAGGGCAATTTGCTAGAAAGTAAGAATTAAAAACAAAAACGAAAACAAATTAACAACACCCACTGTAGTGTCTGTAGTGCCAGGCCAAAGTGTCAAATTAAATTGATCAGGAATGCATTTACGGTACTGGTAAGCAACATGGTTAAAAGGTTAAAAGTAAATAGAAATGAAAGAATAAAACCATACAAGTACAACTACAAGGGCTAGAATTTCACGTACCGTATATTGTTTTTCCTGAACCATTCTCCGTTTGCGTTTTCATGATTTTCCAACAATTACAAACCAAACTTGTGGGGCAAACCACATCCAAACATGAACATGTGCATGTAGCTCTCTTAAAAAAAAACTAAGTGGCCACTATAATAATTCCTTGTTAAGCGAATACACAAACACATTGTACTGAACTGCTCTAGATACATGTAGGCCCACGTTGCAGATGAACAAATATTGACTCTGGTACTTGTGTCTCTGAATCAATAGGCCCGTCTTCACTATCTCCAGATTGCCAAATATCCAGCTATTTGAACTATCCCGATCGAAACTATCCAGCTAATTTGCGTCTTCATTAGACCGAAGTAGAAAATTAGCTGGATAGTTGGTCGGGATAATATCCCAAGATAGTCGCAAACTATCCCGCTAGTTCGCCAAATAGTGGGATATTTTGCAAACTAGACCGAGATATCTTGTGATATTATCCCGACCAACTATCCAGCTAATTTGCTACTTTGGTCTAATGAAGACGCAAATTAGCTGGATAGTTTCGATCGGATAGTTCAAATAGCTGGATATTTGGCAATCTCGAGATAGTGAAGACACGTCTAATAAGCAATCATGTGATGGTATTTAAGCTAGTCTTTTAGAAATGAATTTGGAGACTAAAACTTTGTCAATTCAATGATTCTCAGAATCTCAGTCTTATACGAAGAAAACATTTTGATCAAAGACATTCCACCAATCTCCTACAGTAAAAGCATACATTTTTGCAACTTGAAACTGAAACTTTTGTGATTTACGAGTGATTTTCATGGCAAAGAAGCTTCTGTGAATTTGCAGAAATTTCAGTTTTGCCGCCCTCAGTCGTGATTCAGTTCTATTGTGGAATGAAAACGAAACTCTGTCAATCTAAACTGCATAGGAATTACGTTATGGAAATTTTCTGTGGTAGAAAATTCCTTGTTTTATAGTATCTAAGGGCGTGTTTATGCTTAACTTTTTCTGGCCAGAATCAGGCATCTGTTACACGTTTAGTTTAAACACGGTTGCGTCCTTTCTCACTTTTGTAGAATCACCGAAAAACGGCGATCATGGTCGCCGATCGTAAACTCACAAAAAGATGCGTTTACAATTTGTAAACGCGTTTAAATGGGGTCAACTCACTGACCTCTAGTGGGTCTACGCAGCATGCACAGTGCAGATTTGCGAATCCAGCTGCAAGGCCAAAGGCCACCCAGGGAGAATTACCTGGAGGAGCCAGAGAATTAGTGAGCATAAACAGTACACCGTGGAACTGCGATTACGATGAGCGTTACAAATCGCTCATTCTGCCTTCAAAATTTAAGCTTAAACGCACCCTAAATCATGTATACCCTGTGTAAACATACCACTACTAAAAGTGCATCCCCCTCCTGCCTAGATGAAAAAGGGGAAGGGAAGGGGGGGGGGGGAGGGGGCATCGGGCAAGCTTTAGCAAGGCAATGAGAAAAACCTTTTGGAGGTGGGTGGGAGGGGGGTAGGAACAAGGATATTTGAGTGAAAGCTTAAAAGACTTCATGAATGGGGGGTGCTTCACAAAGACTAAGATCGACTTTAAGTTGGATTTAACTATGGCAGGTGCTGAACTTTGGAACAGACTACCTTTAAATGTCAAAAACTGTCAAACTGTTAACCTATTCAAAACTAGTCTTAAGACACATTCATTCAAAATTGCGTTTGATAATTAATTAACTCTGTTCACTTTGATGTGTATTCCATATGTATTGCAATTTGTAGGTTTATTTGCATTTTTAGTTTTGTTTAAA